AAACATATTCATGTTCTAAAACTTCTCGTGCAATAATTCTGATTCCATTCATAATCAAAGTCCTGGTGCTGACAGGAGGAGCTTCTTTTATGATTTGTTCAATAGGCTCATGAAAAGTGAGTTTATATATGTAGAGATCAATAAGATGTTGCATGTGATTCCTTCCTCCTCTTTTCCACAGTTAGAATAATGAGTTTTTTGTTTCTAGGCTAAAATGATATGAGCTTGTGAAGTAGCTGCACTCTAATAAAAAAGCTTCTACTGCATCATCTCCATCATGTACTCAGACAAACAGTGCTTTAAGCCAGGGCTTCTCAACTGGTCTCACCCTGGGACCCCTATTTTCCCATAGTCATTAAGTCGAGACCCAATTTTTTTTTAAATTCGATATTCAATATATTTTCCTGTGCAACATGCATTTCAGAGCATATAACCATGCATAGTAACTGGACCATGATAACTGCATGTACAAAACTGCACAAAATAAACAAGGGCACAAAACAACATGTTTCCACTCCATTTTCAGCAAATTAATAAGAAACTAAGGAGGACCGTGACAACTGCATGTACAAAAGTGAATAAAATAAATATCAAAACTACTCGAAAATACACTTTTGGCCTAATCAGGTCATTTGTTGAAGTTAATGAGACAGTTGGGCATTATTCGGAGATCAAAATTGATTTCCCGATTCCAGCACAGCGAGTGAATAGTTGGCTATTCGGGTCCAGCCCCAGTATGTAAATCCACATTTTAAACACTCCGGATCATATCTGCGCTTTGCCATCTTGCATCCCAACATCAACACAAACTTAAAATGAACGTCAAACAAACTATGGTTACCATGCCTGTCAAAATAAAAGTTTTTTCAAAATAAAACATACGTCCAACTATTATATATATTATTTAATTTTGACCAGCTGTCTGCGACCCACTTTTGGGTCGTGACCCACCAGTTGAGAACATTAGCATGCTAACATGCTCACAATAGCAATGTTTAGTAGCACTGAATGCATAGAACAGCTGAGGCTGGTTTTGCAGGTCTTCGGTGATAAACTAAACGTGAAGGTGGTGCAAGAGGGAAAACTTACAAGGTCATCAAATAGCTGGGATTGTGTAGCAACCATGAACGTCTGTGCAAAATTTATTAACACTCAAATACATGTTAAGATTTTCTATTTTCTCTTTATTATCAGAACAAACAAAAAAATAATCCAACAGGACATGGTCTTTGGTGTTGGTTTATTTATCCCCTTTTGTGTTGCTTATGCTTTGACTTCCTCCCTTTGTCTGTTTCCCTCCTCTTTTGATGTCTTGTCACTCCAATTAGCTCTCTTTGTGTACTTATAGTCCTTCCTTTGTTCTCTGCCAGTTTGTGACCTTTACCTCCTCGTGTTGGTCGACTGATTTGTGCTTTTGGTTTTCCTACGTTGTCTCCGTTGTTCACCTCCCTGCCAGTGCATCTGTTCTCCGTGTCTTTTAGTTGTATTTTTGTATTCTGTTCATCCGCTCTCCGACTCCTTCAGCAAGTTTTATTTAAGCAGTTTTTTGTCATCGCAGTCTGTCTGCCTTGTGTCTGCATGTGGGTCCTCCTCCTGATAACCCCCTAAAGTTACAAAAAATTACAAAACTGAGGATGACGACAACCGATTTTGGACAAAGTAAAACAACCGTGTGACTAAAGATGCATTAAAACAAGAAATCCCAGTTGCTTCTCTTAATCAGAGCTTTCATGCCTTCTAGGGAGACCAAATCACGGGGTTATTTCATGACCAGGGTGCAGACTAAAGGCCGTTCCACCAAGTCCAAAGCAAATCCAGGGCCTCCTGGAGAGTACTATTTAGATAAGCAAAAATTATTCCATCTGTTGGTAAGAGATAGAAGATTATACAGGTAAGAGAGAAGTTTACCCAGGACTGCTTTGCAAGTCCAAATATGCAGATGATGCTGTCTCCCTGGGCGTAGTGAATCACAGTTAATCCAGAATATAAAATACACAATGATGCATACTGGAAAAGTTTGAACTGCTCGTGGCTCTTATTTAAAACTCAGGGATCATCGAAGGCATTTCAATTTGTCATCACCCATTTCACGACGATCCCCTTCAGAGCTATCAAGATGTTTCAATGACAACAAAACTGTCAACTGGTGTGGGGCCAGAGGAAAAGTCAGGGAAAAGACAGTGTCAGCTTCATCCTCTGGGAACCATGAACAATCCTTTCAACAGCTGGCATCATATTTTAGTCTGAAGCAGTGGAGCAACCAGCACACTAATGGGTCATAGCCAGACCATTCTCTAGTGCTGGCTAAGCACTGGTTAGAATGGTCTGGCTACACCAGTGGTGAGAGGGCAATGGTTTTGTTGCGACATTAGCAGGCAGGGAGGTGCGCACTGTTAGCAGAATGGATAATTCCCCAAAAAATAGATTAATTGCAGGGCTGCGTGAGCCAAACTTACGGAAAAAACGTACCAACTGGTAAATAGAGAAGGTCTTCATCATGGATGTCTGGTACAATGCCCACATTACTGCTGACACTGCCCCAAGCCGCCTGCTGGGCTTCATTTTTCCATCACTTGTAAACAGGATCCTGAGATACTTAAACTCCATTGCTTGGGACAGCGATTCCCCCCCAAATCTAGAAGAAGAAATCCACGAGTTTTCGGCAGATAATCATGGCTTTAGATTTGGAGGTGCTCACTCTCATCCTGGCTGCTTCAAACTGAGCTGCAACTCGCCCCAGTGCAGGAAGAAAAAAGAACTACATTAAAAAGCCACAGACTAAACTTCTAGCCAGCCACTTCCACAGCACACTTCACATGGCTTTCGCTTTCCTTTCCGCCAAGCAGCAACCTGACAATGGTTTTATTTAGGATGCAGATCACGCAATTAGGGAACTGTGCTTGTTTTTTTTGTTTCTTTTTTGGGTGAGTTTGCCATTGTGAAAATAATGTTAAAATAGAACAATATCAACTGCTAAGAAACTATGGACGAATGTAGGAGCTGCTGATTTTGGAGGAGACGTTGGTTTGTTGAGCTGTGATGTGTAAACTTCTGTTTGCAAAGTCGACAACTTATCTGACATTGTGTCAGTCCGATTGGAGCAGACTAACTAAATGTTCACTAAACGTTAGATAGGTTAGACCTAGCAGACTGCTTTAGGTCGGGGGTGTTCACATGTAGTCTGTTCTCTTGCTGCCAAACATAGTGGATTAATACTGGAAAGCTATCGATGAAATGCTTCCCCCTCATGAAAGGAACTCTGGTAAATGATGCGAGTACAACCAGTAGACCACACTCCTAACCCTATGTATGGGCTATCTTGGTTATTTGCTTACATGAACCAAATGATGAATGAAGCATGTGTTTCTTGTCTGCTTGACATTTAATAGCTTAATTTCATATATATGTGTACCTTCAGTAGACTAACAGGCACATACCAGGCACAAAGTCCTCCCTTCTCTCACTTTAAACTCCATTCCATTAGCACGTCTTGATATTTCCTTTCACGCCGTGACTGCTTTTAACACATTCATGATACAGAATCCACTCTACAGAATCTCCAATAAGGCGTCCACTGTACATGGGCAGCTCCTGAAACAAAACCAGAATGCTACGTTCTCTCGTTTCACGTACAACGCTCCCAAGTGGAGCCGCAGTAAATAATAACATACAGAAGGTCGGTATGATAATTGCACGCGCTCACATCAGCGACCGCGTCCATCTCAGCCACGGACTGTGTTTTTTATACCTCAGAGACACAGACCATGAACTCGGATGTTTTCGCTGCCCCTTTCACACAAAGCAGTGCACAGATCACTTGGATAAGTGCGGAGAAGGTGCGAGGTCTAAACACATCCTGCAGGCTATAGAAATCAGGGTCAATGGTTCAGTTAACCTTTAAGTGCTAAACACCTGACAGTTTCCTCTAAACGCGAAGGGAATTTATTATTAGATTTTGATCATGGCTGCTTCAGCTGTCGGAGCTGTGACTTCATACAAAACTAAAGCCTGCAACACAACAACTTAATACACAGTCCAGCAACGACCACAAACACAAAGAGTTAGTGTGGAGTTTTTTCAGCAGAGAGGAATGTTTTGATGCACCCCGAAGGAGAAACCTGAGCAGCAAAATTGCAAGAATAGAGAATTTAAAGACGGTTATATTTTTCAATTAGGTTTCTTTAATATAGTTTAATTTTTTCTAAGCATAATACACATTTCTGTTTATCAAATATTTAGAAATAACAGGAAAATGCACAGATTTCTCCAGAATCCACATTTAGCCAACAAAATAAAAACAAATTTTCATGCAAAGTGTATATGTGAATCTTTTTATATGCAGCTTTTCAATTTTTATGTTATTCCAAAGTCAGAGTTTGTCAATTTATTGTGATGCACATGCAGACTGACCAACTGGACTCTTTAAACCAATGAAAGCACGCTGCATCATGCGTGAGGATATGCCCACACTGATTATCGCCCCGACTCATATTTGTTTATCAGTAATCCATATTTTTTGACTAGATTTGTTAAATGGGTTGAAATGGCTGTTGGACACGTTCTGGTGTCTACATGTGCAATATTAGTACATTACCAGTTCCTTGTGCAGCATTCAGATTTATTTTTTGTATTTTATCTTTATTTTGCTTGTCTTATTGTATTTCGAGTTACTTGACTCCAAGAGAGCCCTGCACAAGAATTCTAATGTGCCTATAGACCAGGGGTGTCGAGTCCTGGTCCTCGAGGGTCGCAATCCTGCAAGTTTTAGATGTGTCCCTCTTCCAACACACCTGATTCAAATGATCAGGATCGTTATCAGGCTTCTGCAGAGCTTGATGATGAGCTGATCATTTGAATCAGGTGTGTTGGAATCAGGAGAGCACTGCGGCCCTCGAAGACCAGAGTTCGACACCCCTGCTATAGACTGTCTGTTTGCACACGAATGGCAAATAAAAAATCTTGAATCTTGATTTTTTTATTGTACAGTGGATCATGGATAGATGGCAACGTTGGCCTGTCTTGGGTGAGTTGTATTTTCTAAAACAGAAAAATCTGGTTTCACATATAGATCAGTCTGCATTTACAGCCTCTGCTACTCTCAGGGAGTGTTTTAGGTTTTCTTAAAAAATGCAGTCAAGGTCCATCGCTATAGCTCAGCTGGTTGTCCTGGCATCCCATGTCCAGGGACTGTAGTCCCCAACACAGCGGTCGTGGGTTTGAACCCAGCCCATGGCCATTTGCTGCAGGTCCTTCCCCCCATTCTTCTCCCTACTTTCCTGTCTCTCTCTCTACTGTCCTGCCAAATAAAGGCCAAAAAAATAACTTTAAAAAAAAAAGAATGCAGTCAAGAACCCACATTAAAACACATTTTCAGTACAAATAGTTTTCACAGAAGTGTCAAAATGCACCAAAGACTCAGAACAAGGTCATAAAATATTTCTAATATGCAATGTGAAAAATCTACTTGAATTTTTAGAGCATTCTCCGATCTCTGACTCACTGGATGAAGGAATAATTGGACATTTTTATCAGATTCCCGATAAAATGAATACATTAAAATTGTGCTGCTTTGGCTCTGATGCAGCCGCCTTTCTTTATCTGACGTCTCATTACTATCAAATTAGTTTTTTTAGAGTAACAGCCTTATTAACACTGAAAGGTAAATGTTGAAGAGTTCTCTTTTAATGAAACATTTGTTAAAAGTACATTTGAAAAAATGATCTTTTCTGGGATTTTGTGTTGGACTTTTTGAATTTTGACACCACTGCAAATGCACGTCAGCTCCGAATACTGGTTATCGGTCTTCATAATTGCTGATAATTAGCATCAGCCCTGATAAAACATTATCACTTGATGCTTAACTCACATATTATATTCGTAGACAGACAGTCGCCTGATTTGCACCATGATTTCCCTCGACAAAGAAATTCATTTCCCTTTGTCTTATCTTTGTTCTGTCTTTAAACATATTAGACGATAAATCTCCCGTTGATTAACACAAGAGATGAAACGCTGTTTGTTGTAAACTTTGCTGCCTCCGTAAAGCGTTGATGAATCAGTTTCCTGCCGCCACCAACATCATTAAGTGTAATTATCATGTAATTATCTCCGGCTGTTCTAAAATCAACCTGTGTGTGTGTGTGGAAGTAAAGCGTGGTTGTTGGCAGACGAGCAGCATGTGTCAGGAAGTGATTGTAAGTCCTCATCATCTGCAGAGAAGAGTGTGTGTGTGTGTGTGTGATGGTGAATGTGTCTGAGTTTGTAGTACCTTGGTGGTGATTTTAGGAAAGTGAAGATATTTTGATGCAACAGTGTTGTTTCAAGGTGAAGGTTAGAATAAGGTTGGGTTTGGGCTTTCGGTTAATGAATGTCCTCGAAAATATAGCCATGAAGACGTGTGCTGCATGCTGGTGTGTGGTGATGGGTGGAGGGAGGGTCTGTCCATCACTTGTGCCATTGTTTCCTGAAACTTATCCATGTGGAGGATTTTCATGCCTTATATGAAATGTCAGAAGGAATATGAGAGCTGACAGGACAGACTGACAATATGCTTTGTCTTTTTAAAAAAAAAAAAAAAAAGACAAATACATTTGGAATTACACTTGAGAACCTGTTAAAGCTGTTTTATTTCTTTTCTTACTGGCAGTAATAACTGACTGGACAAACATGGATGATAAATACACATCCAAGCTGTCCCCTGCTGTTGAATCCTGTGCAGGGATCTACCTGCTGGTTATTGGTGAGTGCATGGTTTCCTGATTTTATTTTCACATTGTTGTGTCGACGGCACTGTACATGTAAAATGTCCAAACATTCATATTAAGGGAATTTTTGCTGGTTTTGTTGAAGGTCAAAGACACCATCATGAGAAGGGATGCAAATTCTCCAGCAACAATCTCCTGAACATATAATGAGCCGTGTTATCAATCAATAATCAATTAATCATTTAAAGGAAAAAAAGACAGTGGCAGTTTTTATATATGCTAATAAAGCTATTTGACACTTTATATTTGAGGCAAAATCGGATCGGTTGCATTAGAAATTTGAAGAACAGATCAAGTAAACACCAGGTTGCTGAATTATGAATGAAATACCAAAAAATAAATAAATAAAATTGCTTCATGTGGAAAAAAAAAACATCCAAAAGAAATAAACAGGGCAGGTGAACTGCAGTCTTCTTCTTAACTCTCTTCACACTGGTTTTACATCAAAATAATCCTCGTAGCTAATCTACACGATGAGTAATTCATTCATTTTAGTTAATCCAGCTGCTGGAAACAGCTGCTCAGGTCAAACAGGCATCCTCAAATACTGTTGCAGCAACTTTATCAGTCCAGGAAATCTGTTTGTATTTACTGGAACCTCTGACATGTATTTACACTCAGAACGATTCGCTTCATGACTTTAGTTTTTTAATGTTGCGGGA